TTATACAATATTTGCCATTATTTTTAATAATAATTACTGTAAATTTGATCATCTTCAATATTATTATTTTAATTAAATCGGAGGTTGACACAATAACAAATATTAATGACTCACATAAAATCGATTTGCATGAACGCGATGAATTAAACGGCTTCTATAAAGTACAAGGTCGGAAACCTAATGCATTTGGAAACGCGCGTTCGAAGTTATAACGCCACATCACGGAAACCCATGGTCTCGCTTGGTCCTCTGAATAGCCAGCCAGCTAATCCCGCGTCCGCTGCATTCTGCAGTTTTGGAAACTTTCGACCGTAACTGCAGCGTCGCGGCTTAAGTGTAACGCCACGACGGGGTAGGCTTGCATCGTGTTTCGTACCGCGTCACTATATGTAGATTGAACAATTTATTGCACCTACTAGCCACTTACATAGTTGCAGACTTCCTTCGTATTTCACGTTCCCAGCGACGAGTAGCGTGATTTCTCTTTCAATAAACAGAGCACGCTACCTTTTGGCGAAGGGGAGAGATCAGAGGATAATCGTTTCGAACGGGAAATTAGTATGGGGCGCGATACTTGCTGGTGGTTACGGTTCGTGTTTTATTTTCATCGTTCGCTGCGGTCATCGGCAAACTTTTACGACGGGTAAAGAATGGGGAAAGAAAGTTCGATTGTCGCCAGACATGAACGCGCCGATTGGGAACATAGTATGTACACCGACGCCACAGAGTCACGTGCCGGTGACGGCTTCTGTTTCCCATGGAGAATTTTCACGCGAGTATAACCACACATGTACACGGTACAACCCCGTTCATAAGTCTGAGACACAAGAGTGCATACGAGATGTAGAAGTATGAAAAAATGAAAATTTTATACATAATTATATATGAATTGATAATGTATAAGCTCTCAGATTCATGAATAGTAGTGTGCATTTATGTCACGTATGTAACGTCCTAAACGATTTTCGAAATGAGTTTCGAAACTCGAGGGAGGGCGAAACGAAATTATAACAGACGATTCCATTAAAATCGACGACGTGGCGCAATTGAAAACAGTTTGTTTGTCGTCGGTTAAGTTTTAATTGGCCAGCTGAATTATCGAAATACACGTACGTAGAAACAAACGGGTTCTCGTATTTCCCATCTGCGATTATTCGTTCAAGTTTATATGTAGAGAGTTTCAATCCGAAAATTCTCGACCGTTTCCTACTCATTAACGTTTAATTTTCCTAAGCGTGTACCTCGCCACCACTGTGGCCGCTCGGTTTGAAGTCCGTAGATGACAAAGCGAGGATAGATATTGAGTTCCGTCTCTCTAATGCCCGCCTCGTATCCTTTCAGGACAATGCACCGCGGCGCTGGGCATGGAGAATGGCGAAATCCCCGATGAGGACATATCGGCCAGCTCTATGTACGATCCGAGTCTTGGCCCCAAGCATGCCAGGTAAGTGAACAATGATATCGACAATTTGCTCGACCAACGAGTACCACGTTTTGATTCGCCGTTTATCGTTTCCGAATTCATGAATTACTCGAAACTCAGTCGTTTCAAAGCTTTATAGCAGGGATTCCCAACGAGGTTGATGAAATTCTAAAGGTCAATAATAATCAGCGAGTCAATTGGGGATAAATAACCAAATATGTACCAGGAATTGATTAGCATAATCAAGATCAACAGTTCATTGATTATAAATAG